TTTGTCTTTCTTTTCTCATAAGCTCTGCATGTAATAATTGTTGCTCTATAATATCCTGTAACAACCTGCCATACAAGGGACAAGTTGAATGTTGGACTACAGTCAACTGCCCTGAGCTTTTCCTTTAATGTGAGAGTATACTTATGTTCAGTAGAAATACTGTTAAAATCTATAAGATAATGTTGGGGGGGCCCTTATTTTCAGCGGCCCTAATCATCTTCCCTACTTTTATTTTCAGTGGCCATCCCAGGATGTTCAGTGGCCCCATCTGCCCCCCCTGTGGAACATCTCTGGAGGAGCCCCAGTCTTCCTCGCCTCCCTTTCACTTCATCATCACTACTTTGACTTTCATTTCCCTTTTTCTATAAAAGTCAAACAAAGTGCGAATGTTCTGGAAGTGGTGAAGCCGAGCAGGAGCTGCAGTTCCCGGACGCGGATGTCCTGCTCCTTCCTTCCTTCCTCCGGGAAGCATCACCTGACCGATGACTCAGTCCTTCCAGGAACCTAATAATCTGATAACCGTTTGTTTTCAAACACCGGCAGCTCATCAATCATGTACCCGCTGGCTCCAGGGGCTCGGTGCCCCACCTATCCGAACCAAAGTCCGGCCAACCGGCCGCTGAGGTCCCGTGATCATAAGCAGGCTGTAGCAGGAGGCGCCAGGCATGAATATAACGGTTAGCAACAGAGAAGCTAACTGACTGACTGTGTCATCATCCCGGAGGGGGTGTCGCACCTCACACCGACCCCCCTCGGTCACGGCAGCCTCAGATAAACCCCCTCCAGCCCCGCAGCTCCATCATGTAGCCCCGTTAACCAGCTCCATCCGAGCGGCTAAGGGTTAGCATCGACCGCTAGCGGCTTTAGCACAGATGCTCCACGGGCTGCCGCTCCCCTCAGTTGATCCCTCTGACAATAGAAACACTCCCGAACCCACAGCTAACCGCCCCGCTGCTCCTTCTCACCTGCATCCGGTGGAACTCCTCCTCAGACAGAGCCTGCGACATGGCCATGGTGCCGGGGCGCCGCCAGCTAGCAGGCTAATGCGGCTAACAGGGAGGCAGGCAGCGGCGGAGATGGGCACGAACGGCAGAGGTCTCACTCTGACACAGATTCCCAAAGCAGGGCAAAGGGCCAGAGGAGTAACAGAGAACCAACTTAGACCCTAGGAACTTTCTGGACCTTGGTCTGAGCTGGTTTCCTCTGCTGTTAAAGTTGGATGAAAACGTTTCTGCTGCTTTTTCAGATTTTCTTTCTCCTGACTTTTCACAGCATCGATTTAATTTTTATTTATCTGTACTTGACTATTATTAGATACATATCTGTGTTTGTAAGAAGGTAAAACAAGCAATAATTTAAAATTTATCCATCATTTGATAGTTTCATTGAAAAACATTGCATTTAATGATATAAATGTACCAAATACAGAATCAATTGAGCAAAGCTGTAAATCATAATGGTAAAAACTCTAAATATTGATATCTCAAACCATTTCCCTCAAGTGTGTAACTTTGTAATGAAAGTTGGTGGGGGGACTCTATAAGGGTTGGAGATGATGAACCTGGAGTTACAGGATTTAAAGGCTTTTGTATTTAGCTACAAATGAGCAAATGGCTGGAACCAATCTGCCCCCTAACCACTAACCCTTAACTATCAACTCTTGCTCGCAATGAAGCGATGGTGAGGGGGCATAAACGAGAATGGGACGGCCTCTTCCCTCCAACGGAAAAAGAAAGCAGTCTACTTTTAAGGCTAGGCTTAAAACTTTCCTTTTTGATAAAGCTTC